TGTAATTAACTATAGGGGCTTGCCCTTATAGGAAGCTTTTCCCGAACCCAGCATAATATAAACCCTATTTAATTTCTTATATTAAATAGGGGAATTTGTCGGCCAATATATTGGTTTCGCAGACCAAACGGATGTCATGACTTTATCTAGTTTATTTGATCGAGCCTCACCCTCAATTCTTGTGTTCATCCTTTGTGATAGATACAGGATTTGAGGTAAAGCGCTCTTTCATTTAAACTATAAAAATTATGGGGTCAGTTTTACTTCATCTTATTCCAAACTAAATTTTTTTTTTAAAAAAAACGTCCTTCCGAAGCGGGCAACGGGATTTCAATTCCGATGACCAACAACTTCTTATGGGCAAACCCCACACCAAAAATAGTGCCGACAGAGGGCTAGGTCTAAGAGAAGAAGCTAGCTTCGAAGAAACAAAAGATAGTCGAATCAATAGACAAAGTTGAGTCGCCTGACTCACTTCAATGTCTCTTGACTCACTTAAGAGTCAACTAAGGATAAAAGATTGGGTAGAGGAAAGGAGCATGCGAGGTTACCAAGCTGTAAGCACATTGACCCAACCTCCTTCAATGACACATGTTCAGCCGGTTGTCACTCCTACGTTGGAAGCTGCTGGAGTTGCTTTATCTTGGTGCAAGAAGTTGTCGGTGCCTTGCCACCAATCGAGGGATTCAAGAATGTGATCGTTACGTCGTCACCTGTTGAGAGCAGTTTTTTCACTTTAGTGGACTGATATAGATCAACTCATTGGTATGAGAGACTTGATCTTCATGTTTGAGAAAAAAATTATTTATGTTTTATGATAATTATTTTTTAATGCATAAGAGGTGATCCGCATCATCGAGTTGCTTCATCTTTGGATATGGTGAATCCTGATTTGTTAGTGAATCACACTCAAGGAATAAAATATAAGACGCGTGAGAGAGAGAGAGAGAGAGAGAGAGAGGATTGCACAATAATGAACAATAATTTGAATTGTTGATTATAACTTTATTAGAAAATGATCCCCCTATTAATAAAAGATGGGGGCACATTATAATATTTGAACAAACTTTAATTTGGTTGTTATATGATATTTTGGGCATTCTAGATATATAGACATTTGGTTTAGTCACCCCATGATTTAGTTGATTGGAGTTAGTCGATCTTGATTTGAAAGAGCCGCTCATTCGATTCGCTGAATCGGGTTGTTGGTCGGCATTTAATGCTCTTTGGGTCAGCGAGGCTCGACTGGGTTACCTTGGTTTTGTTGGTCAGTTATGCTAGTCTGGTTGTCGACTCTAGTTTCCTGGACAAGGAACTTTTGTCGATATAATAAGAATTGACTATCGAACAGAGGGTGAATCACTGTAATCCGACAGATAGCTTCCTTCTCGACGATTCGATCATTCAGAACAATAGGAAATAATCACAAAAATGCCTCCTGTAATTCGACAGGTAGCTTACTCTTCGACGAGTCGATCCTTTAGAACAATAGTAAATAATCACAATAATATTAGCTTCAGAACAATAAGAAATAATCATAGAGGCACACCACATCACACGAATAAATTCTCCGCAAAGAAATGAGGAGAATATACAAATTATAGGGCACTCGAATGTTTCTATACTCGTAACTTGAGAACAATACTTTAGAAGCTCTTCCTCTCTCTTTCACACAACAGATCGTGAAATCCAACAATACACACGCAAGCCCCACAACGAAGATGATCCTTTAAAGATCAAACTACATATTATTATTACAAGCACCATCACCAAGACTTGAGTTTTTCAAGTGCTTTGTTTCCGACAATGAAAACAAGTGTATCTAGGCACGACTGTGTCCTTCTTAGGCACCACTTTTCCTTCTACTCAGTTCTAGATGAAGGTCTTTTGAGCGCTTTGGCTCCACACCAGGCGCTGGGGCACCCCCTCATTTTCACCATGTGTGTGTGTATGTAATATACATATGTGTGTGTTTAATTTTAATAATTAAGTATATTACATTTTAATGTTTAAATTTTTTAAAATATATGCATGAATTGCATATTTTATTTTAAACAAATTTATACTAGTAAGATTTTTAGCGTGACTTATGGATTAAAATATTATATAAAATAAAAATAAAAATTTTTAGATTATGTCTATAAATAAATAAAATTAATAGTATATATGCAAATTGGATGAAAAGGAAAAGAAAAAGAAAGAGCAATTACTTATTACTAAATTTTTAATATTTAAACTTAAATAATCCGCTAAATAACACTAAATATTCTAAATTATTTTTAAAATATCATTAAAATTAATTTCTTCAAGCAAACTAAACTTATATATTCTTTGATATGATTTAAATATCAAAATTATTTATAAATAAATATAAAAACTTCGAAATTAAATATATAAATATATAAGAATTTGTGCCCATGAAATAAATGAATAAAAAATACCTGGCGTTCCTCGCGAAACTCTCGCTTCTTTCTGCTGAATCGAGCTTAGAGATGGCGGGCATGGAAGGGATTCGTGCCTCGCTCTCCTCATCTCCTTCCTCGTAACAATTTCAAACTCCCCGCGTTTTGCTCTGTACTCACATGGTGGTTGCCTTTTGCAGATTAAGTACCATATCCTCTTTCTCCATTTATGTTCCATTCGGACATTAATTAATATCTCATCTTCCTTCCTCTTTTCCTTCTTCTTATATAGTTACTTCTCCTATGAATGATTGCATCCAATGCCGCTTTACCAAGCAAAATCTGATTCGTTTGGTGGATGCTTCCCTTCCGAGTTACCCTAAGCAAAGCCCGCCATTCTTGCCATCTACAGGGCTGGAGTGTGCTGCCTTCTCGTTCTCTTCTTTGACTTCCACAGCGCAAGCTTGCAAGCTTCTCTTTGTTCTTCTGTGTTTCTTAGGCTGAGAGATTCATGCTTCAAATTTATACGTTTTGCTCTCAGTCTCTCTATCGGATGCTGTAGTTTGTTATCTTTGTTGGAGATGGAGATTCGGATTTGGATTTCGGGGATTTTTCTACTCCTTTTCTGCTTTATGTGGATGGGTTTTGCCGAGCCGGTGGAGGACAAGCAAGCGCTGCTTGATTTCCTCGCAGAGATACCGCACGGCCACTCGCTGGACTGGAGACAAGAGACATCTGTGTGCGGAAACTGGAGGGGAGTGGTCTGTAATGGAGATCTTTCTCGCGTGGTCGAGCTTCGGCTTCCTGGGGTAGGATTCAATGGCCGAATGCCTCCGAATACACTAAGCAGACTCACTGGACTCCTCATTCTGAGTCTTCGTGCCAATGGTCTCACTGGTCCCTTCCCGGCTGAGTTCTTCAACCTTACCGCTCTAACGGGGCTACACCTTCAGCTCAACGGCTTCTCCGGCTCTCTTCCGTCTAATTTTTCCGGTTGGAGGAATCTTACGCTGCTGGATCTCTCTTATAATGCTTTCAATGGGAGCATCCCTGCTTCCATCTCCAACCTCACTCAGCTGGTCGCTTTAAATCTCTCCAACAACTCCTTATCTGGCCGAATTCCCGAAATCCAGCTCCCAAGGCTTCAGTTTTTGAATCTCTCCAACAATCACTTTAATGGCAGCGTCCCAAAATCACTACAGAAATTCCCAAATTCGTCTTTCTTTGGAAATGAGCTTACTCCAGTTTTACCGGCTAACCCTTCTCCTTTACCATCACAAGTTTCTCCTTCAAACCCTCCCAAAACAATTTCCAATGCTTCCAAAGGGAAGATTAGTGAATCTGCGCTTTTGGGAATTGTAATCGGTGCTTCTACTCTGTTGTTCGGGGCATTAGCCATCCTAATAGTTATCTGTTATATGTTGAAGAGTAGTAAGAGTTTTGCCTTAGGGAAGGAATCAAAAGGCCATGATTCTCCCAAGAATGCTGGTGCTGTGAATCAGGATGAGAATAATCAGCTTATTTTCTTCGAAGGTTGTACCTTTGTGTTTGATTTGGACGACTTGTTGAGGGCTTCAGCTGAGGTGCTTGGGAAAGGGACTCATGGGGCAGCATATAAGGCGGTGATGGAAGACACCACCATTGTGGTGGTGAAGAGGCTTAAGGAAGTTTCGGTTGGAAAAAAGGATTTTGTGATGCAGATGGAGATGGTGGGGAAGATTCGGCATGAGAATGTAGTGGAGCTGAAGGCTTATTACTACTCTAAGGATGAAAAGCTTTTAGTTTATGACTACTATAGCCAGGGGAGTGTTTCCTTTCTGCTACACGGTATAACCAATCTCTGTTAATTTTTTTGCGCTTTTTAATAGTTTTTGTTTTCTAATGGTTTAAAAAACATAGTTATCAATTTTTTGAATTGTGGAAGCACATTAGGAGTTTAGAATTAGTAAAAAAGTTAAGGAATAATTTAGGGACAAACATTGATGATCTGCCATTGTATTCCAATATAGATTTCATGTTAGAAGTTCCTTTTCTTTGCTGATTTGGTCTTCCATTTGATGTTCACATCAATTTATTTACCTCCTTAGTTGTACTTTTCTACTTTGGAGATGGCATTTGTCTTGTTGCAATGTCACCCATCATCCTACATCTTGTCTTTTGATCTAACATGAAATTAAGCTTATTTTTTGGCACTTATAGTAGGGATAAGTTTTTATCCAATCCTAAGCAAACTTAACAAAAGAAGGAAACCTATCTATAATTATTAAACTATAAAGTTCAAATTAAAAATAATTATATCTTGCTTTATCTTAATTTGAACTTCAAAAGCAAACTTATACAAACATCTTTAAAATCTGAAATCCATACTTACTTTATAGTAAACTTGATTAGATTGAATGGTATAGACTTCATGCCCCTTAATCTTCACACTAAGCTTTTAGTTGAATATTGTCATCATCTAAGGATTCTTGGTGATGTCATTTTCGATCTTAATGGTGTGTCTAAGAATCATCTTTATTGATAATCAACATCAAGAAATCAAACATTTCAGAATTTGATTCTGTAACTTTGCATGAAATTTCTTCTCATTTCTTTGAAGAGAACAATCATATTGACTTTCCCCTCATTATTTGATCCTCAGGTTATTGTGTGTACTCTTCCTAAACCATGACTATTAATTCATTGACTTCAAAATCAATGGTGTGATAGAAACAAAGGAACGTATATGTGTAGAAATAAAAATTCAGAAAAGCAACGCTAAGAAATTTAATGAGAATTGAATTGAACCATCTTGTAGTCTAACCGACAAACCAAAAGAATTGCATATTTGATGAATATAGGTTTCAAATTTGCATCACCTAGCATACAATTGTTGTTGGCAGCTCCTTGAAGTCGATCCCTTGTCCTAATTGTTTAAATAAGCATTTTTGTCACTAAGGCATAAGAGATATTGTTCTTAAATCAAGAGAAATTGCAAGAGATTTAACGAGGTGCTCGACTTTTGTTGATCATCCAAGGATTCTTAGCAAATTTACCATTTTAGTTCGGCTTAAATTTCAGGCAAAGCTAGGAAACTTAATGCATTCTCAAGAAAAAAAAAATTCTAAGCATGTTATTCTAGAACTAAATTGAAGGTGAGAAAAACCAACAATAATAAAACTATTTTAGAAGAAATTTATTTTTATGTCTAGAATATGGAAGGTGAATAGAAATACAAGATTATTGATAACCGAATGATCAATCCCATGAGTAATCCTTTTTTGTAAAATTGATTCCCAAAGCATAAGAAAGTTCTTCTCTTTGTGCCAAAGGACTAAGCACACACAAGGAAATCCTTCTCCATGGATGGACAACAAGCGCACGGAAGAGTACTTACAGAAATCTCATTTCATTCCACTTTGTTTCAAGAGCTTTGAACTTATTCATATATATATATACCCTAAAAGATAAATGTCAAATAATGTCATTCAAAGCCAAGGCGATGGAAGGGGATGGTTTTATGAAGAAGGGATAAAACCCAAGGAGATATAAAAAAGGTAGTAGAGATGAAGTTGGACAAAAATTATAGCTCACTAAGCAAATTCAATGAATTGTTTAAACGATTCAGAGACCCATTTGCACTTAATAGAATTTATTGCACTTTTTTGTTGAACTTCAACATGAAGATTGTCTATCATCTTTGCCTACAAATGTGGATGCAAACTTTATTTTTTTATATGAAATGAGTATGCCCCTAATATTCATGCATTTTTGTAGCTCATATAGGATAACAAGATGGAATGGAGCCTTTCTAGTGATACTTATTTATGAAATTATTGTAGAAAAACTCATTAATCAGCCAAATTATGTTTGAGATATAAGTGTGGCCACTAATCAAACATCTAAGTTACCTAAGCTCCCATTTTCTATCATTTATTGTTCATTAGTTTGTGGGATGGTAGGCAATTGAGAATAGCGACTTGGTACCTTTTTCTTACCTCGTCTGTAGCCTTACTATACAGCCTTGCTAGTTTTTATTTGGGAGGCTTACATACCTACCCCCAAATTCCTATATATTCACATATTAAACACAACTTCAATTTTTATATTATGATCACCCAACCTATGCCGAAAACATAGGGATCAGGTTGCTTGTATGTAAAAATTGAAGTTTAGGTGTTTCATATACAAATACATTGGAATTTGGTGCTTGGTATGATAAGGCCCCTTTTCTTATCCAACTATTCAACTTTTTCAAGTTTAAGAGCAAAATCATGACTGAAGCCTTATCTAACGGCTACATTCTTTCATTACTTTACCATTTACCCTGCCTCCTTCATGTCTTCACACAGGAAAGCGAGGGGAAGAAGGGGGCCAACTTGACTGGGAAACCAGGTTAAGAATAGCCCTCGGAGTTGCGAGAGGTGTCGCGCACATCCATTTGGAACAAGGCGGCAAACTCATCCATGGAAACATAAAATCTTCCAACGTCTTCCTTAATAACCACAACTACGGTTGTGTTTCAGACCTCGGCCTCGCCACTATAGTAAGCCTCACCATTCCTCCTTGGTCACGCATTGCCGGCTATCGTGCCCCTGAGGTCGTCGATACTCGGAAAGCTTTGCAAGCCTCTGATGTCTACAGCTTTGGTGTCCTCCTCCTCGAACTCCTCACGGGCAAGTCTCCCATCCAGAAAACAGGAGGAAGTGAAGATGCCATTCACCTTGTTCGATGGGTTAGCTCCGTCCTTCGCGAGGAGTGGACGGCTGAGGTGTTTGATTTACGGCTCATGAGATACTCTAACATAGAGGAGGAAATGGTTGAGTTGCTTAGAATTGCGATGGCCTGTGTTGCGAGGATGCCGGAGCAGCGGCCGAAGATGTTCGAGGTTGTAAGGATGATCGAGGATGTAAAGAGGGTTGAAGGTGGAAGCCAGCTGTCGGCGGAGGAAAGGTTAGAGGATTGACAGAGCTTAATCAGGTAAAGTTCATCTGTGGAGGCATTCTGTTCTGATTTGTTCATTCTTGTATCCATTCCCAGTGGTTTTCTTCATGTGCTTTGTAAATGGCCTGGAATTAGTGGCATTGTTGCGCCTATGTGGCTTTCTTAGGCTATGGTGGTGTTTCTCCTTGACTTAACTTAGGTATGTTATAGGGTATATTTTGGTTTATTTGGATAACTTGTCATTTTGGGGAGTAGTTTTGTAATATTAGGAAATTGTTTTTGAGTTATTTGTCTTATCTTTTGCTTGCCATGAAAATTCTGATTAAAATTTAGGAAGATTTAAATGCATACCACTGAATCCCTATATATTTATATATAGGAACACCTAAACTTCACTTTTTATATGTATACCAGTTTACTTATGAATGCAAATGTGTGTTTCACCTTTTAAAAGTTGAAATTGTAGAATTTTTAATGTGATATGAAAGATTTGGATAGTTTAAATGTAAAAAATTGAAGTTTTGTTGTTAGATATGTAAATACATAAGAATTTCCAAGCATGTATGGTTATTTTATATTGAATGCTAAGGACTTCCCAACAATCTTTCTAGAGTTATATAAATTTTATGGCCATTTTTGGTTTAAAAGATTGAAAACCAACTGAAGGAATTTAATTATAATTTGTTTTATTTAACTTCTTTCATTGAGGAAAAAAATAGAAAGTTAAAGTTATTATTTTTGGATGAAATGATGCATTCTAATGGAATTAATGTATCGGTTTTCCTCTAGCTCTTCATTAGGCTACAAAGTGTGTTTGGATGGTAGGAATTTGAGTGAAAGGAAGTTAAGAAAAATGTTGAAAAGCTCAAGTCAATGGTAATAGTTTTGTAATCAACTCATAAATTATTTTTATTTTATTTCTTTAGGTTTGTACCAATCCAAACATAGCCTTAAGACTTCAATTTTTTTTTTTCTTTTTTAGTTTAATGTTAGATATGGTTTGTCAATTGGGCATAAGCACTTTCATAAACTTTAATAGGAGTCAAAAGGTTGATTTCAATGTACAATAATTCTCTTCAAACTAATATATTACAAAATCCAGATCATGTTACAATGGGCTGATCCAACACTACAAAAGCCATCATTAGAAAATAATTCTGAAATCTTTAATAATTTTATTTCAATGAAAATAAATTTCAACTGTAGAAGTTCAATTTGTATTTTTTTTTTGTTTTTTGAGTTTGTAGTAATTCTATTTATTATTGTATTGAGTATTGATAGAATTTATTATGCAATTATTTTTGCATTCTATTTTTTATTTGTTGGTATTTTTGCTTCTTTGATCCACTCTTGCTAAATACTCTATCAATAAAATAGTATATTATTTATCCACTATTTCTTAATTTTATTTTCATTGTTTATATTTAATTGTATAAAAATTTTCTCTTAGGATTACTTAAAAAGTTCTAATCAATTCCGATCCTTCAAGTTTATTTCAAGAGTTGAAGTCAATGTCTTTATTGTGTCCCATGTTGTTGGGATATGTTACCTTCTTGGCTCAGTGCATGCCACTATATAAACTGTTGTTAAGCAATACATCCCTTTTTTATTCTTGTACATTCATATTTCTAGTAGTGAAATTTCACTTTGTGTTATAACATTGCTATGCCAAATAAAAAAAAAAAATCAAATTTTTTACATGTTTTCCATCTTTGCTTTATAATTCCACTTGTTCAAAGAATGTTTTTCATGGGCAGCCCACCCAATTGTTTTTGGTAAAGCTTTGCCAACATAGTTTGTATGGGTGTGTCCTGTTTACATTCATGCCTTGAAATTATATGATTGAACTCAACATCTTAGAGGCATTTAAGGATCTAAGTGACTCGTTGCAGTCTAAACATCTCATGACCAGACACCTTTCTTCTATCACATGGATACAAGGATGTCCACATTCTTTTCTGGCTAGTTAGACAAATATTTTAGATTGAAGGCTTTCCTCCCCCGCTCAGACTACCACATAGCCTCCTTTCAGAATTGATCATGCCAATCTTCCATAATAGCCTCTATGATCTTTATTACAACATTCTCTATCACTTCATGGTCATGCCAATTAACTTTGCCTCTAATTAGAAGACTAATATGAACAAATCCATCGACTTATTGGCTTTATTGCATCAGTAAGGTCAAGGATACTAATAACACTGGTAATTCACTTGCATTTATTTATATGTTCTATGAGCTCAAGAAGGGACATGCTACTATAGCTTATATTAAATACCTATGAAAGTTATTGGTATTAATAATATTTCATCTTTCCTTTTGTATGTTTAGTATTTTTTTTTGTGTCTTTATATAACACTTCAAGATCACATGCCATTCATTATCTTTACATACATAACACACACACACACACACACACACACACACACATATATATATATATATATATATACACACCACCAACAAATTTTCATTATTCGACACAAATCTCGAGACATGACACGGATTCCGAAATGATATTTTAAGCAAGAAACATTTACATCTTGATAAAAAGTTATCGAGAGCTTCGATTTCAACAAATTTATAGTCAAACTGACCGGATCGATGAGACAAACCTAATGATATGAAAATTAGTCCAATTCGAGTCAAATCAAGCTCAGATTAAGTCATTAAACCACCCTTGGGAAGATTTCTGGACACATTTGGAAGGCCAAACAGATGTCAACACTGACAAGTTTATACTTGAATCGAACGACTCAACAAGACGAATCCAATGAGACCAAGATCACTCAATTCCAACATCGTTAAGGCACTCAAGAATCCATTAAACGTGGCATGATCAGAGAAAACTCTCTGTACCGTCCGATCAAAATGATTGATATTCCAACATTAATTGCATCCATAACACGATAAATAGACCCCCACCATTCACATAAGGGAAAGCTGAAATTTAGAGAGAGAGCCCGAGGCCTTGAGGAGAAGCTGCAACTCAGCATCACCGTCAACTGCCGTCGACCCTTGCCGCTCACCGCCCAGACCCTCGCCGACCGTCATCAACCACCGCCGACCCCCGTTGACCTTCGTTGACTACCGTCGACCACTGTCGACTGTCATCCACTAGCACTAACCACCATCGATTAACTCCAACCAGCCGCCGTCAGTCGAGGTTTTTATCTGAAAAATATAGTTACAATTTCCCGTCTGTGTGACAAGAGATTTTTGTAATCATTAATTAATAGTGGATTTCCGCAACTGGGTCAGACCTCGTGGTTTTTCCCTTACGGGTTTTCCACGTAAAAACTTCTGGAGTCATCACCGTTTTTTTTTTCTTTCATCAGTGTGTGTGCTGACCTTTCGTACAACGCCAAGACAATAATCCGTTACTCTATCACTGCGAATTTTCTAACACGCATCAATATATATATATATATATATATGTATATGTATGTATATATATATATATGTATATGTATGTATATGTATATGTATGTATATGTATGTATATGTATATGTATGTATATGTATGTATATATATATATATGTATGTATATGTACATCTATATATATATCGATATATATGTACATCTATATATATATCGATATGTATGTACATATATATATGTACATATAATATTTTATATTGAGCCGAAATATGATTTTTGGTACATTATACGACTACGGTGTATTATAACTTTGAATTTAAATTTTGACACATTCAAAAGTGAAATAGCGCATCACACATATGGTAATATTAAACTTAAGGATAACATATGATGAAAAAATTTAAAATAATTTTTTTTATTAATAGCGATCAGTTATATAATACATTTCAAATTTAAAAATAAATTTAAATTGAAAACTATATAATAAGTGTCAGCTACTTTATTTGATGACTAATTATATACCTGTTAAATACGACATAAACTATAAATTTTAATTAAAGCCGTTTTATTCTAGATAAAAAAATTTTTGCTCGGTTTATAATAGTTTCAATTTAGGCATTGCTTAAAAAAGTTTTGCTCGGTTTATAATAATTAAAGCAATTTAAATACAATACTGCATTCTAGTGTATCTATTGGTTGTTCTCTTCTATCTGTATGTGTGTTGAATCTTCGTGCATTTCTAAGACAATAACCTATTACTCTGTCACTGTGAATCTTCTAACACGCAATAATACTTTTAAAGTTTGTAAATACATTATACAATCATACATGTGAATGAAATATAATAACGCAAGGGCGGATTTAGGAGGCCCTAAATATTTAGAATTTCTTTATATCCCAACTATTTATATTTTTTAAAATATATTATCACAAATATATGTAAAAATTTTCTCAAAGAGTTAATTTATGCCTTCGCTAGAATAAAGCATTTATGCATTCCAAATACACATATTTCCTAACAACCATAGCATTGCATGTTGTGATTTTAAAATCATAATTGTTATTCCAACTACAGATTGTCTAAAACTATACTGATTTTATTTAATACTCAATTAATAGATCATGGGCGCCTTTTAACTTTTAAATGTAAATTCGAATTTAATTATATACCATTTAAATCAATATTTTATTATTCACTACACCAACCAACTTATTTAGTAGATTAACTATATATAGCATTACAGAACTTCTTATGTTTTTGCATATCCAACACTTAAATTTTAATTATTTATATTTATATCACTATATCACATAAAAAAATATCACTATCAACTTTTTAAATGTAAAATTATAAATACATAAAAGTTAAGTGGCATGCATGTAAATCCTCCTATTATTGAAAAAATATTATATCACGACGTGATATCAGGATTCCAATGAAATCACGGTGACAAAAAAAAAAAAAAATCGACCCGATAACATTCCCTCGTGTTATTCAGGCGTTATTGTATGTTATTCATGTGTTATTGTGTTATGAGAATATTCTTAGTGTTATAATAATACAATAACACATCAATAACACTTGAATAATACACAATAACATCTAAATAACAAGGGGAGAATATTCTCGTGTTACCGGATAAATTTTATTTTATTTTATTTTATTTGTCACCGTCACGTGGCTTGATTTCATTGGACTCTGATGTAATATTTTTTTCCCTATTATTTATTTAGTTTTGATTATTTTAACTCAAATTAAGATCTGTACACTGTCATATTTGCTTATAATTTATATAATTTCTTAAAAATGTAGAGATATAGATTAATGCATAAAGAAAATGAAATAGAAGTGCATTTATTTGATTTCCAGATGGAAACTATATTCCATATTGCCTGAAGCATATCTAAGGGTATTATTATATAAATTATTTTCTAAAATTATTTTGAAGCATGATTTTGCTTTAAAAAGCAATATTACAAGTTTAGACCCGAATAAAGCATTACAAGTTGCAAAAACAATATTTCTAATAATCAAGTATAAAATATATACTTGTCTGTTGTCTGCATTCCGTCTTCCCCTCCGTCTTCACCGATCCAGCGAGTTATTGCCCAACTGGTTCCACCTCTTCCTCTCAGTCTGAGTCGTTTGCCGATTATATTATTGTAGTTGTTCACCGATCTGAAATTTGGTGGGATTGGATATAGGTCATCGGCCATGGCTTCCAAGCGAATCTTGAAGGAATTGAAGGATCTGCAGAAGGATCCTCCGACATCTTGCAGCGCAGGTTATTCTAGATCGGATTTCGTTGTTTCTATCTAGGATAGGAAGGATAGTTTGATTTGGATATGAGGTCACCAGTGATACTGCTCTTGATTATTTAAAATTGAGCTCTGCTGTTAGTTTTCTTTTGAGAAAAATACGGGAAGGTTATCTGAAATGCACTTTTCCGTGTTTAATTGATTATCTGATTTAACTTTTGGTTATGGTTGTGGAGAACGGCTTGAATTTGGATATCATGGAAAGAAGAAACATCAAGCGTAATTTTGTTTTCATTTAATGATATGATTCATGTATAATCTGTTTGGCATATATATATATATATATATAAGATGGTTTGTGTCTCAGCCAAATCCTGCTCTATGCTTTTTCACAGTTCACAGTGGTATAATAATTTTAATTTCTTTATCTGAGCAAGAGTAATGTTTGGTTCTGGTGAAAGATGAATCAATGCTTTGTAGAAAATGGAAAAAAAGACATGGTGTGATGTTAACACTGGCCATTATGGTATTAAGTTGGTTTTTTTTTTTTTGTGGATCTATTAGTGAAGTTACCATTGAAGAAAATGCTAGTGCTACAATTTGAAGTAAAGTGATTGTAGAATGTGCTAGAAATCTTTTGGTCATGATGTGATTCTTAAGTTGAAAAATATTTGAAACTTAGCATTTTGTAAACGCGCCCATGATAAATTGATGGATGGGTTGCAGAGATCTGTATTTATTTCAAGGAAAAGCTTTCAAATACTTAATGAAAGGAGGGATGCTTGAAAAGTAGATTTGATTGTCTCTTGATGTTCATTTATGACATTAATCTCATGTAAGGTTAAGGCTTATAAACTTGTTCCTTTTGAATTTCTGAATACACCAAAAAGATGAGGTGATTATGGAATCAATGTCTTTAGTCAATAAAACAGTAGCACTTGAACATTTTACTTTGACTTCTATAGTTTCAACTGGTTTACATTCGTAGATTGACATTGTTGTGGGAAGTATTATGTTCTGATCATTTTTCTTTTAGCTCCCTTTTGTTCTAGGTTGTATTTTTGGAACTTAATGTATTAAATTATAGGCATAATTGCATACAATACATTCAAAACATTCCTATGTACAAAACTAGCTCCCGGGTGATTTTTTTTAAAGTTCCAAACCGATGCATTCACACGTGTCATGATCAAATCATTGATAATTTGATAAAAATGAAATTTATGGGTTGTGGTTTTATTGTGAATTTTGATATTTGAGCGAGAATCGAAGAATGGATGAAAGAGGGTGCTAGATTTGTAAATAGCAATGTTTTTAGTGCTATGCATGTAATTGCCCCTAAATTATATTGTTTTGTGAATGCTAGCTAGCAATGTTTTAAAAGTACACTTTTAAGTTCAGCAAAGCCCACTTCATATCGAGTGGTCTCAAAACACTCTAAAGCATCAATCATCAAAGCGTTTGTAGTATAAAGCGTAAGCTTTTAGATGTGAGACATACGCTTTATGATGTTGGTTGAAGCGTCAAAAGATTGGCGCTCAATTTTCATTGAATTATGATAGCCCAATTCAATATTTTAAGGTATTCAAAAGGAAGAGAAATAAAAATAAAAAAACTATCTTCGCATTGTGCCCTATTTAAAGCTTTAAGACAAAAAAAGTTTCATGCCATCGACATCATCTTTGCTGTAATATCTTGGCTTTCATCTCATTTTATCTATGCTCTTTTCGCATCAATATTACTCATTGCCACAAATTTGTTACTTTTCTTTAGATTATTGTCCTTTTCTCTTCCCATGTCATCCAAATACAACGGCTATTTTTTATTAGTTTTTCCTTTCACCCCCTATAAGTCAATTATTTTAATATTATTGCCATTATGTATTCTTTTTTTACAACTTAAGTTCATTTTAAACTTTCTTCATGAGACTTAATTATTATAATATTGTCATTTTAAGATAATTAGATATCTGTTAATCAATTTAGTGTTAATGAGACCATGTTTTGATTTTTTGAAATTACTGAGACTAATTGAAAGTGGTTAAAACTTTTATTTTTGGTTTGTATGAAAAATCTTAATTTTTTATAGTTCTTTACTTTACATATTCATAACTTATTTTAATAAACTTAAATTTATAAAATTAAAATGATGAAGTTTACATTTTTATGCTTTAAAGCTTATGCTTTGTTCTATATGAGGATCAAATGCTTTTGCTTTTTACAACACTGCTAGCTAGTAAATTCCGTTTGGCAGAAAAAATTAAATGGCTTAGGGACTTTCTTGTTTTTTATAATCTTGCTTAATGTGATAGAGATATATAATTCAATCATTTTCCATACATGGATATTCTTAGTTTTTTTTTCTGTGACTGAGATTTGTGTTTCTTGTATTGTCCCATGAGTGAGATATCAAATGCTAATTATTTGGGGTTGCTATTGATCTTGTGTAGATTTTTTGCTTTTTAATCATATGTAGCCATAAAGGGGTGGCAATGTTTAAATTTTGATTATGTTTAGCCTCTCCACTTGAAGGGCTTTTTTCCAAAACGTTTCAATTGTGTAACTTGTTCTATGGAATTTTTACCCTTGATGCAAACACTTAATTTGATCATCTACATAGTTTTTTAATTTAAAAACACATGAATGTAACTATATATTTATTTGGCTTTGAAAACAATCATTGTTTTAATTAACATAGATCATCATCAGTGTAATTTTGTAAGATAAGCGCTATAGTGTGTGCAACTATGATGACAACTTTATAAATTTAAAGTTGTGAAACAAATAAAAAATAGTTTTCATAGCCCAAAAAAATAAAAAGTAGCATCGAAATACACTTTAAAATTAGCTTATAAATGTTTTGTATTTTAAGTACCTTAGCTTTCTATCCTATTTAACGCCTCTTGTATTTGAATAAACTTGACCCTCTAATGCAATCTTAATGATGCCGTGCACAAATAAGGATTTTAACCACTTTTATGCATTTTCATTGATTTATAAATGAAATAAAAGTAATAAAAAAATATTAACAATTTTAACTTATTTTTATTACTTAAGTTGGGGAAACTGTTTTCCGGTGAAAATCTAAATTTTCTAGATGTCCAATCATCCATTGACAGAAGTGTTATGCATCTTTTCCTCACATAAGTTTGTTATTATTTTTAATGTCCAAATAGCTCATTCTACTTGTTTGAATAGTAACTGGATTGAAAAGGGGTAGTCATACTCTTATTGGCTTCTTTTCTTTGAGAAATTCAACTTTGGTACTATGAGATTTGCCTTTTTTTTTCTGAAATTTCCAATTTCATAGGTCCTGTTGCCGAAGACATGTTTCATTGGCAAGCAACAATTATGGGTCCCCCTGATAGTCCTTATTCAGGAGGAATTTTTCTAGTTAGCATTCATTTCCCTCCAGACTATCCATTCAAACCACCGAAGGTATTTCTCCCTCTATTTTATTCTTTCAATGTATGGTTTCCTATATGCTAGCATCCTTTTGTTTCTTGTACGATTTCCTTGTTTAAAACACTTAGTTTGATGCGTTTATTTTCCTTTGTCTAAGTGTACATAATGGGAGCTAATATTGGTCAATTTATAGTGCCACTTAATCACTTGTTCTTCTTCCGAGCAGATTATTGTTCTAGCAGATTTTTTTTTTCCTTTTTAAAAAGTTTTGACACATGATTTTTAGTAGTTATCGAATGTCGATCTGTTGAAATGATCTTGTGCAAGGTATTCTGAGTGATGAATGGTGGATTTGTTCTTGTTTTTTCTTACATTTGGGCCTGTGGTGGTGCTTTAACTTACAATATCTTAATATGCCTCATTCATTCTGAATTGTTATTGTTAAGAGCAGAAAGTATGTGACTTGGCTATCACGCTGCTGAGAATTTTCATGGATTTACATGTCAGCATTATAGCTTAATAAATCATAACAGCTATAGTGGATGTGTGACATGTGTTTTTCTCTCTCTTTTTAAAATATATTCAGATGAGTTTTCCTTGGAGTTCTGTGTTATTAATGCATAACAGCGTTTTGTTTTGTTTGCATGTAATACAATATTGTTATAACTTTTATAATTGAAAGGACTTGTTTTGTTTGCATGTAATACGATATTATTATAACTTGTTTAATTGAAAGGACAAAGAGGCTAGGTTATGCTTCGCTTTTCCATGGTCTTTAGTAACCCAAAATTGCATCCAGGAAGCTGGGAATGCAGAACCGTTTTGGGACCATTCGATTTTAAGGATATTACCTTCTGTTTTTTTCTTTATTATTTTTTTTTTTGCGATTTTATGATCTGGCATCTCATTAATATAAAAATTATTGTTTTTGGTGTTGGCCAAGAGGTGCTGTTGCCAAGGAAAGAAGTATATTATAGCATAAATACTTGGGTAATTCATTAACCCCAAATTGCTGAATAAAAAATGTATTATAATAATGTGGGCATTTTATAGATTTTCATAATTCTAGAGTAGGTCATCTCATCACACTATAAAAAAAAAAAAAGAAAAAAGTTTTACCTTTTTGAGTTCATTTAAAATCTCACTTTTCTGGCACAGAAGTCATCATCAGTCTGGTAACCTTGAGATTTCACAAGTTTTGCTTTTGGAACTTATTGACATGAATGTAAAACTGACAGAATCTCAAGAATGAGAATATTACCAGCAATATTGCAGAGTTCATTTAGTTACGATTGGTATGCCGTGTTAGTGTCAGATAGGTAAGATAATAGGCGACGGAGTGTCAAATAACTATATATTATATGCCTTAAACTAATAGATTCTCTTGGAATCCTTGGATTATCTTGAAATGTATTGACGCGGGAGTGCCAGTACCAGTGCTATCAACATTATATTACAGTTCTTTTTTTAATGTTTTAATTCTCTGTTTTTATGTCTTTTTTGTTTGAATGACAAACGTATAATAGGGGATGCTAGTGCTTATAAATAGGGGCATTTTGTGCACAGGAGCAAATTTTGGTTTTAGAATTTTGAGTTTCTTTTAGGAAAGTTAGGGCTACCCGTTCATCTTCTTTGCTTCTATATCCTGGAGTTGACAACCCAGGTGGTGTCTTGCAGCGTGTATTCTTGTGCTTCCTTTACATCAATAATATTCCTTTAGCTGTTTTTTGCCTCCTGAATTCTTCTTAGCAATTCTTGATTGATGTTTTGCTAAAATCTACTCTCATATTCCTTGCTTGTATCATTTTGGTATCATAGCTTCGGCTTCCTGATCTCAACTCGCTATGTTCCTCTTGTTGTTGAGTAACGTGGGGCCCGGTCCAACTACATCTGAGCGGTTTATTTCTGCCTTATTGAAAATTACTTAAATAATTGTTGCCTTCCTTTCGTTTCTCCTGCTCGCCCGCCCTTCCTTCTCCGCAATCCCGCTCTCCCGCTCTCGCGAATAACGGCCGCGACTTGCTTGGCCGAAGGCAGGAAAAAATCAAATTTGCGATTGCATTGAATCGCAAGTCTTCTTCGGCTTCTCCTTGGTGCGTAATCTTCGGTAGTAGCATTTGAATATACGAGGCAGAGGAGCTACTAAGGAAGAGGGATCGCAAGGTTTCAAAGCCATCCCTTGTTTTCTTTGGCGTGTGGCTCACGGAAAGAAAATTGCATATTGTTGCCCTCAGTTTTTCTTCTTCCGTGTGGTGGCTTATAGGTAGAGAGAGAGAGATGAGGTGAGGTGAGGTGAGGAGAGAGAGAGAGTTTTTCTTGTATCTCGAGAAGATCAACGATGTAATTCTCAAAGTAATAAAATCCCCTGCAACTCCGTGGACGTAGACAATTTGACGAACTACGTAAATCTCTGTGTCTTTCTCATTCCAATTTTTCGCTTTATTGCCATCATTTTTCACAACAATTAGTATTAGAGTCAAGGTTCGGATATGAGGGAAAGTCATGGCCGGAGACGAAGTGAAGCCATCAGGGATCGAGAAGTTTGTTGGCACAAATTTTGGTTACTAGAGAATGCAGATAGAAGATTATTTCTATGAGAAGAAACTTCATCTTCCGCTATTGGGAAATAGACTGAAAAAGATGGATGAGATTGAATAAGATTTGTTAGATCGACAAGTTCTGGGGGTTATTCGATTAACTCTGTCTAGATCCGTGACACACAACATTATCAAGGAAAGAACAACTGTAGTTCTCTTGACAGCTTTATCAGGTATATATGAAAAGTCATATGCAAATAATAAGGTGAATCTGATGAAAAATATATTCAATTTGAAGATGGAGGATGGTATAACTGCTGCACAACATCTAAATGATTTTAATACTATCATAAATCAATTATTATATGTGAAAATTGAATTTGATTATGAGATATGTGTACTTATATTGTTGGTTTTATTGTCAAATAGTTGGGAAGCTATGAGGATGGCTGTTAGCAATTTTGTAAGTAAATCTAAGCTGAAATATGATTGTATTGGTGATTTTATTTTGACTGGGGAGGTGCGTAGGAAAGATTCTGGCGAAACATTGGGTTTAAGTTCAATACTGAATGTTGATTCCAGAGGGAGGTCACATGACAAGAACTTAAACATAGGATAATCAAAATCAAATCACAGAGGCAAGAGCAAATCAAAGTCTGGTCAGTAAGCTACCTGCTGGAATTTTGGTTAAGTTGAACACATAAATAAGAAATACAAAAATCCTCAGAAGATAGAGAACGTCAGTGCTAATGTTGTAACTGAAGAAGTGCAGGATTCACTACTGCTTGCAGTTCACAGTTTTGTTGATAACTGCATACTGGATTCAGGAACTTCTTTCCATACATTCTTCTATCGGGAGTTAATGCAAAATTATATTGCAGGTGACTTTGGGAAAGTATATTAGGTTGATGGAGAACATTTGAATGTGGTAGAAATGGGAGACGTTGACATTGCACTCTCTAATTAGAGCAAATAGACTTTGCGAAAGGTCAAAAAATTCCTGAGTTGAAAAAAAGCCTCATTTCTGTTGGGCAGCTCGATGAAGACGATCATTCATTAGTGTTCTCAAATAGCTCCTGAAAGGTTACAAAAGGGGCACTGATTCTGGCACGGAGTAAGAAAACCGATACACTATATATGACTACTGGTTTAATCAACAGTGTTGATACTACCACTGTAGAAAGTACAACAAATTTGTGGCATTGTAGGCTTGACAACATGAGTCAGAGAGGTCTGAAAGAACTTCAGTCCAGAGGCAAGCTACTAGAACTGAAGTCAGTTAGATCTCATCATGTGTGAGAGTTGCATTATGAGAAAACAGAAGAATGTCAGTTTTATGAAAAGTGGTAGAACGCTAAAGACATGAAAATTGAAACTGTACACATATGTGTGAGAGTCTTTTCCAGTAGCATCTCTTGGAGGCTCTCGTTATTATGTCACATTCATTTATGACCACAGCATGAATGTATGAGTTTATTTCTTGAAGCATAAATCAAATGTATTTAATGTGTTCAAGACTTGGAAGATCATGATTGAGACAGAGACAAGCTTAAAACTGAAATGTTTGAGATCTGACAACGAGGGTGAGTACATTGATGATGGGTTCAAAGAGTACTCTGTAGCTTAGGGTATCTGAATGGATAAAACCATTCCGTGGACACCACAACAAAATAAAGTTGTAGAACGTATGAACAGGATCATTAATGAGCGGGCTAGAAACATGAGATTGCACGCTGAACTACCACCAACTTTCTGGGTAGATACAGTCAGCATTACAGTTTAGTTGATCAACATGGGATCATCTGTTCCATTTAACTGTAAATTGCCTGAGGTTTGGAGTGCGAAAGAGGTCAAATTTTCTCACCTTAAGATTTTTGACCGTCTTTCTTATGTTTTTGTTAATCTTGAGGCTCGTAACAAGCTCGAGGTTAAAATAAAGAAATGTTATTCATTGGCTATGGAGATGAGTCATTTGATTATTGTTTCTGAGATGATTAGGATATGAAGATCATAAGAAGTATGGATGTGATTTTTAATGAGATCATGTGCAAGGACAAGTCCAGTACAGTTTTTGAAGTGGCTTCTCTGAAATCAGAGATAATAATGTTTGATGTTCTACCAGAGGTTACAGTGCAGAACAGTGATTGAAGTGATGAAGGGAGTGAGTCCGGGGCACCCATTCTTATTATTCCGCAAATAGTTTCAAAGTCGTACACCCTTACAACTACAACTTGCAGGTTAGTCTGGAATAGACTTTCTTCTCAGAGTTACTCACCAACTTTGACTTTATGAAGAAACCTTATAAGATGAAAATTCGAGCAAGTCGGAGCTGACTATAAAGGAAGAGATGAATTTTCTGTTAGAAAATCAGACATGAGAGTTGATTGAACTTCTATTTGGGAAAAAGACATTACATAACAAGTGAGTTTACCGAATGAAAACTGAGCATGATGGCAGTAAGAAGTACAAAGACTAGACTTATTGTAAAAGGCTTTC